AAAAAAAAAAAAAAAACCGGGGGGTGGGGGGGGGGGAAGAAGATATAACAACTATAATTTTTTTGTAGTTGTTACAACAAACAAACGGAAAGGACATTCTTGGGGGGGAGGGGAGAGAGGGAGGAGGGCGGGAAGTGTCGGTGGTGGGCCATAATAATCATATACATTGTATATTGACAAAATAAAAAATTAAAAAAAAAAAAAAGAAATACAAATAATTTCTGAACTATAAATACACAAAACATCTATCAATAATATAAAATTAGAAAAGATATGCAAAGCGGCAATACAGAATTTGAACAAAGGTTCCCAAATACATACTATTTCCATTACCTCTGAATAAACATCTGTGCCGCCAGGAGAGGGATGTCAGGAATGTCCCCGTCATTGTCCAAGGACTTAGAGTAGGTGATGCTCCCCTGGTCAATATTTATTAGAATTAAACCATCAGCTTCCTAGAAAATAAAGATTAATTTGTAAAGATTGCTATACAAATCTTTGAATTTATATACATCTTTGAAAAAACACATATATATTTTGCATTCACTGAGACAGTGTCACCACTAATTAAATTATTCTATTTAATATGTACACATAGCCTTACATCTTCTCTAGAAAATATGCAGTATATACTGTGAGTTATAGTTGATGGGCTAAATTTGATTAAATATATCTTTCTCTTATTTTTCTTAATTATAGTAAAATATACATACCATAAAATTTACAGTCTTAACCATTTTTAAGTGTATAGTTCTACAGTGTTTACATTCACACTGTTGTGCGACCATCACCGGCCCCCATCTCCAGAACTTTTTCATCCTCCCAAATTAAAACTCTGTAGCCATTAAACACTAACTCCACTTTCTTCCTTCCACCAAGCAACTGGCAACCCCATTCTACTTTCTGTCTCTACAGATTTGACTGCTCTAGGTACTTCACCTAAATGGAATCATACGGTATCTGTCCTTTTGTGACTGGCTTATTTCACTTGGCGTAAGGTCTTCGAGGCTCATGCATGCTCTAGCATGGGTCAAAATTTCCTTCCTTCTTAAGGATGAACATTTCATTGCATGGATAGACCCCATTTAGTCTTTGAGTCAATATTCCAATACATGTTGCCAAGTTCTCACCTAGCCTGGTATGAACACTGCATGCACCACTTCATGGAGTCCTGTGGGGAACATTCCAGAACTCCAACGAGTACTCCACCAACATTCAACGCCCAGTGTGCTTGGCTAAGCTCCAGCCAGCTCAACCCCTCCCGGAGCCAGAACACAGACAGGGTCCCCGGCTAAGTGACCACACGCACTTGGAATTTGTGAAGTATGCATACGGATTACTTGTAAAGTCTTATCTTATAAGGAGCAATGCATTGAGGTCCTCAGGTCCAAAACGGCCCAGAAAAGAATGCCAGGATCTCTCTGAAGGCCCCAATTCCTTGGCTTTCATTCCAGGCCCCACCTCTGAACAAGTGTTTCAGGTGGCACATGAAACAGCAAAAACACCAGCTTTCCCTGGCCTCCGAGACTTACAGGGCAAACGCGGGAACTACTAAGCCAGCAAGGTAAGCGGCACCGCCCTGTGAGTGTGAATGCCAAACATTTGCAAGGGGTGCCAGTATGCAGGGAGGCAGACGCGCTGTAGGTCACCCCCAGCCTCCTCCCTCAGACCCACTGCCAGTGAGGAAAGACAAAACAGCCAAACACAGCCCAAGGCTTTCATAGAAGAGTCACTGCTGCTCCTGAAACCTTCCAGAGCAGATAAATCACTAAAAGTGTTTACCTCGTGATGTCTGACAGCAATTGGGACTACCAATTAGCACATGAAAAAATGCTCCACATCATAGTCGTTTGGGAAATGTACATAAAAACCACAAGATACCAGCTCACGCCCACTAGGAAAGCTCTAATTAAAAAGACAGTATGATGTTAGCTATCGGTTTGCCATATGTGGCCTTTATTGTGTTAAGATACTCTCCTGTACCTAACTTGTAGAGAGTTTTTATTATGAAGGGATGTTGAATTTTATCAAAGTCCCTTTTCTGTGTCTATCAAGATGATCATATGTTTTTTCTTTCATTACGTTGATATGGTGTATCACGTTTATTGATTTGTATATGTCGAACCACCACCCTGGCATCCCTAGGATAAGTCCCACTTGGTCATGGTATATAACCTTTTCTTTTTTTTTTTTTTATTCCTTTTTGTCTTTTTTTACTGACCGGTAACAGGATTGCAACCCTCGGTGTCATGCCCGTACCGGGGACTGGCAACGGGATCGCAATCCTTGGTGTTGCGCCCACACTGCGCTCAGCCAGTGAGCGGGAACTGGTCTCCACATGGGATCCGAACCCTCGGCGGGAGTGCCACCACGCTCCCAAGCGGCGCACTCTCCAGTGCGCCACCGGGCCGGCCCGGTATATAACCTTTTCATGTGCTATTGGATTCGATTTGCTAGTATTTTATTGAGGATTTTTGCATCTATGTTCATTAGAAATACTGGCCTGTAGTTTTCTTTTTTTGTTGTATCCTGTTTTAGACTGTTTATGTTGCTATAACAGAAATACCTGAGACTGGGTAATTTATAAGGAAAAGAGGTTTATTTGCTTACGATTCTGGGACAGCTGCATCTGGCACAGGCCTCAGGCTGCTTCTACTCATGGAGGAAAGTGGCAGGCAGCTGGCGGGTACAAGCAGATCACATGGCGAGAGGAAGCAAGAGAGAAAGCAAGAGAGAGAGAGAAGGTGCCAGGGTCTTTTAAAGCAACGAGCTCTCACGGGAACTAATAGAGCAAGAACTCACTCATTAATCCCCCCTCCCCCAGGGAGAGCATTAATCCAGTCATGAGGGGTCCACCCCCATGACTCAATCAGTTTCCAACACTGCCACATTGGGGATCAGATTTCCACATGAGTTTTGGAGGGGACAACACATCCCAACTCCATCATATCCTAACCTGGTTTTGGTATCAGGGTAATGCTGGCCTCATAGAATGACTGGAAGACTCTGGCATGATCCTTGCACACTGTATAAATGTACCCAAATATCACAATGTAGTGCATAAATATATACAAACATCATGGGTCAATTAAGAAAAAACAAATTAGAAAGGAAAAAGAAAAGAAATAGACAGTAGAATAGTGGTTACCAGAGGCAGGGAAGGGGAGAGGAAGGGTGATGGAGAGAAGTTGGTGACAGGTACAAAGCTACAAAGGTACAGTTAGAGTGGAAGGATAAATGCTGGTGCTCTAGGGTGACAATAGCTATCAACGTTGTATTATATGTACGACAGCTGGAAAAGAGGATCTTGCATGTTATAACCACAATGAAATGATACATGTTTAGGTGACAGATACGCTAACTATTCTAATTGGATTATTATACAATGTATGCATGTACTGAAACAAAGAATTGTACCCCATAAATGTGTACAATTAAAAAATAAATATTTCTTAACACCAAGGTCAAGGGTTCGGATCGCCTTACTGACCAGCAGCCAAATAAATATGAATAAACAAAAATAAAGAGAGAGGCAATAAGAAGCGTCGGTGAGGATATGAGACGTCGGAGCCCCCGCACACAGCCGCGGGAGCGTGAGATGGTGCGGCTGCTTTGGAAGACAGTGTGGCAGGGCCTCAAGTGGTCAAACAACAAGTCACCACATGACGCAGCAATCCCACTCGCAGGTGTATACTCAGAAGACTTGGACACGAACATTCATGGCAACACTACTCAGAGTAGCCAATAGGTAGAAACAACCCAAATGTCCATCAGCTGATGAACAGATATATTCATGGTATATTTACTCAATGAAATACTATTCCACAGTAAAAATTAAGTACTGATAGATGCGTCAAACAACAAGTCACCACATGACGCAGCAATCCCACTCGCAGGTGTATACTCAGAAGACTTGGACACGAACATTCATGGCAACACTACTCAGAGTAGCCAATAGGTAGAAACAACCCAAATGTCCATCAGCTGATGAACAGATATATTCATGGTATATTTACTCAATGAAATACTATTCCACAGTAAAAATTAAGTACTGATAGATGCTACAACACAAACGTACCTCAAAAACATTATGCTAAGTGAAAGAAGCCAGATACAAAGGGCCACACAGGGAGTGATTCCACGTACGCGAGCTTTCCAGAACAGGCAGATCCAGAGCCTGACAGCAGGTGAGTGGGTGCCAGGGGCTGGGGGGAGGCTGGGACAGGTGGAGGTGACTGCTGATGTGTACAGGGCTTCTCTGTGGGGTGGTGACAATGTCTAACGTGACACATGGAGGACTGCGCAATTCTATAAATACACTGAAGTCCATTGACTTGAACATTTTTTGGGGTAAACTTTGTAGTATATAAACTGTATCACAATAAAGCTGTTTTAAAAAACCAAACCCACTCTGCCCGCTGGCACTGTCACAGTATTTATCACAAGTCTACGATGTTAACGCACCAGCTAAACCTATACCATATCTGAGCAGTGTGACAGTAAGAATGGCTACCGCCTATTAAGCACCTGCTGCATGCCGTGCTGCCTCGCTTAGTCCTGACCGTAACAACGAGGTCAGCATGTACTGTCCTGTTAGCACTGGCAGACAAGGGCAAAACACTTCGCCGTGGAACAGTCACACAGTGAGCGAACAGCTGCTGGATTCAGAGGACCCATGAGCCTCATAACACTGTAAGCAACACACGGCACACACGTGCATTTTTCTAGAAGGAAGGCCCATTGCAGTAATGCACCCCAGAAGCTTAGTTTTAGAAAATCTGTAGCAGTAACTACGGAGCCATCACCTACAAAGCCCCCGCCATGTGCCAGGTGCCACGTGGGGTGCAGGATTGTCCTCGGCTCAGAGTACTGCCCATGAGGACATGTTCTGCCCCACTTCACAGATGAGGAAACTGAGGCTTAGCAAAGGCAAGTAACTTGCCCCAAATCTCAAAACTAGTAAGTGCAGAGGCTAAACTTTGGATTGGGCTCCACTGACTCCAGCACCTGCACTCTCCTCGCAGAAAAATCTGTCTGAAGCCATTTGGGCTGCTCTGAATTTACATGGACTGAGAAATGACTCAGGCTACAGTACTTAGAATGCCATGGCCTTGAACACATCCTGAGGTCCCCAGAGGGATGGTGTGAGAACAAAGGAGACAGTACACGGTGCGTGTGTGGCAGGAACCCGCAGCACACAAGAGACAGCACACGGCGCGTGTGTGGCAGGAACCCGCAGCACACAGGAGATAGCACATGGCGCATGTGTGGCAGGAACCCACAGCACAGGAGTATTAGGTCCCTGGAACTGAAAACATGACTTTTAGAAACAATCCCCCCTTCAGTTTCATTTCTCTAAGTTTTGTTCTTCAAGGTCTGTGCTTCCCTAAGTCTCTGCTCCCATGAGCAGGCTGAGCAGGCTGTACCCACAGTGTGACACTGTCACTGCTTCCCCTGGTTGGCCCAAGGTTTCTGTCTCCCCAAGTCTCTGTTCCCATGAACAGGCTGTACCGGGATGGAAACTGTGACCATCTTCCGAGACCAGGCGAGATGCCAGCCTTAACCCTTATGAAAGAAGACACTCAACTACCTCTTGGCACCAATGCCATTTTTCAGCTCAGCCCGGCAAGTCCGCGTGCCATTTGCTAATAAAATCTTTTCTTCCTTTACCTGGCTAGCGTCTCCTTCCTTGGTGACCTTACTAGGAGCTTAATGACAGAAATGGTGGTGACCTCTCTAAGACACCGTGTACTCTGCCTTCACTTCACAGCACTTTCAAATGCAAGTTTCTATTAGTCCTCGCAATGGACTCAACAAGAATTGAATTCCAAACCACGTGTTCTGTACCTAACCTTGCTGACTTCGTCAAAGTGATCGAGATGGCAGCCCATGAGAAAAGACGTTGGGGCCATGACAAAATCCAGCATCTGGTCGGACAGGATGGGCACGAAGGTGTGCTGCCACTGCAGGGGGTGGAGGTAGACCATGAAGCACTCGGCCAGGAGCGTTAGCAGAGCCCAGTCCGAGGAGAAGAACACGATCCGCTGTTCCGTCAGAATGCACGTCAGGACCTGGGGGGACAGTCAACAGAGCCACACACACGCTTCCATGCAGCGTATTAAACTTAAGATGCTCGTAAACATGCCACCCAACCAAGCCAGATGGAGTGCAGCTCTTACCCTGGTCTCCCTGCTCCCTTTGCCAAAACAAAATCCACCTGAGCCCCTGCAAAGAGCGCTATTTGCAAATATTGCACACTGCAGTGAACACTGGCTTTAAACAAAAAATAAGTAAATATTTGGAGCACACTGGCATGTGCGTTGCAGAATTAACCTGCATTTTAACCATCTCTGATAAACAATATCAAGTCAATTAGGGGCCGGCCTGGTGGCGCACTGCACTAGTGCGCCGCTTGGGAAGCGCAGCAGCGCTCCCGCCGAGGGTTCGGATCCCACATACAGACCGGTTCCCGCTCACTGGCTGAGCGAGGCGCGGGGGCAACACCGAGGGTTGCGATCCCGTTGCCGGTCCTGGTCCGGTACGGGGGCAACACTGAGGGTTGCGATCCGTTGCCGGACACGGAAAAAGACAAAAAAAAAAAAAAAAAAAAATCAAGTCAATTAGCATGAGGCGCTCGCAGGCCTGGAAGGACGTGTACCTGCAGCACCTTCTCAGGTCTGAAGCACAGCAGGGGCAGGTGGAGGTCCAGGTCGACCACGGGGCTTTCGGGGTCCACTCGTGAGGGAAACACGACCTGTAGCGGTTTCATGTTGAACACCTGCAACAACCAAGTTCCACAATCAGTTCAGACAGCTGCTCCGAGCAGGGGCTAAAATGCACTGAAATTCACTATTTTGGTGCAGAAAGCATCACAGTTAGAAAACATTTTTGAAAACTTGCTGCCCTGTTAAATGTCACAGAATAGCCAAACAGTCTAGAGATACTCATGACTGCAGATAAAGGTTCATGCATAAAGTAGTTAATGTCTTTTTAAGAAAGCCAAACTTCCTTAAACACTTTAATTAATCAGCAAACTGTTCACTGGAAAGACAAAGATAAACCGCAACCCAGATATCTGTCCCAGTTAGCACAAATTCTAAATCAAGCATATTCAAATTATTCTTAGGTATTATATATTATTCTCAGTCACTATATAGTGTGTATTCTCTTAGTATTTTCAATTTAATAGTTGAAGATCCTCAAAGACATGTAATTCAAAACATTTCAAGAAAGAGACGATGATATTATGATACATATGCATACATATACATAAATTGGTTTCGTCCACGGTTCCTGGCTCACAACTCGCACGTCCCTGGTTACTTCCTAAGTGACTCCTCTGTTCCCTCTCCTCCTTCCTTTCACCTGTACCTTTTCCTCCCCAGGGCAGGACTGGAATCTTCCCCTGCCTTTCTGTCTTGGAGCTGCCATAAAGAAATCCTCTGGGCTGGCCCGGTGGCGCACTACTACAGTGCGCCGCTTGGGAGCGCGGTAGCGCTCCCGCCCGAGGGTTCGGATCCCACATACAGACCGGCCGCTCACTGGCTGAGCGAGGTGCGGGCGCAACACTGAGGGTTGCGATCCGTTGCCGGTCACGAAAAAAGACAAAAAGGAAAAAAAAAAAAAAGAAATCCTCTGACCTATCTTATCTGACTGTAGGTGACAAGGCCCCCATTCCAGAGTGTTCCTACCCAGGAGGAAGAAGTGCTCTGCAGAGAGGCCAAGAGAAATCCAAATACACCTGCTGTGCTGGGTTTCCCCACTCAGCCTATTAGCAATTATTTGATCACACTTTTCCTGTCCAATTTCTACATGGCTGTCCATGCATCAATCACGCCTATGTAATGAAGCTTCCATAAAAACCCAAAAGGATTGAGTTTGAAGAGCTTCTGGATCGTTGGACACTTGGAGGTTCCTGGAGGGTGGCATCTCTGGGGAGGTCATGGGAGCTCTGTGCCTGTGCCCCATACCCTGCCCTGTGCGTCTCTTCATCTGTATCTTTTGTCGTGTCCTTTATAATAAAATTCTAAATGTAAGTAAGTGTTCCCTGAGTTCTGTGAACCACTCTAGCAAATTAATTGAATCCAAGAAGGAGGTTATGGGAACCCCAATTTATAGCTGGTTGGTCAGAAGCACAGGCCACAACCTGGGGCTTGTGATTGGCATCGGAAGTGGGGGACAGTCTCGAGGGACTGAGCCCTCCACCTGCGGGGTCTGAGGCTCTCTCTAGGCAGGCAGCGTCGGAACTGAATGGGAGGACAGCCAGCTGGTGTCCGCTGCAGAACGGACTGCTTGCTGGTGGGTGGAGAGAAACCCCACGCATCTGGTGTCAGGAGTGTGTGGGGGGAGTACAGTGGGAGAAACTGAGTTCATTTTTTCTACTCAGATATTTTATTTTTCAAAATGATATTATTTTGAAATAACACTGCAATTCGACTTCTGTATTCTCCGCACGCCCGTGGAGCGCTGAAGCATGCAGTTGCACACGGTGGAAGGACGCAAGAGAGGAGGGAATCCCTCCTGCTGGCGGCCTGGGAGCTCGCTGCGGCCGTGGACAGCCAGGTTCCACCGCCCGCGGGGCCGCACACGGAGGGCTCAGGAAACGGGGTGGCTCCCCGCACCCCAAGTGCCAATAAATGAGCAGAACGGGATGGTCAAGGCCTAAGCAGATTGCTGGAGAGACAGAAAAGAAGAGCACATCCGACCACTCGAAAGGCCTCTTCACGCAGGAGAAAAGCAGGTGCAGGGGCTAAAACAACCGTTCCCTAGTCACACGCTCTTGCACTCGTCTAGGTCACCATGCTGAGTATGCTGTCACACGAGGAAGCCGAAAATAAGAGAAGACTGTGAGCTCCCGGTGCAAGGACGCTGTGAGGGCTTCCTTACAGGACTCAGGCCACTCTGCTCCCTGCTACCAACTTGTCCACAGAATCAAGACATTAAGAAGGAGGCAGACCCACTCAAGTGACCAAAAAAGTCCCTTTTATGTAAAATAAAATAAAATAAATAAAATAAAAACAGAGTTAAATTCTCCAAGCCGTGACACGTTTTTAATATTATAAAATGTATGCAAAAAATTCTCCACAATATTTCAAAAAAGAAATGTGTCCACCAGCTACTCAATTAAAGATAAAAAATAAATACCACTTTACAGATGAAGAAACTGAGGAGAGAGATATTTTAGTAAATACTTTCCAAATTTCATCTTGATTTGAACCTCAGAAAAAGAATAGGTTTCACATGTGAAACCACCCAGAAAGTGACTTGGGCATAGTAAAAAAGATATATATATATATTTTTTTTTTTTTCATTTGCACACCCAATGAATCCCAAGATTTGAAAAGCAAGTAACATCAGACTCACTAGTGGGCAGAGAAAAAGCGGGGTGAGCCCAGGGACGTGGGGTGCTCCTAATGTCTTCACTCTCCTCCAGCTGGCAGTCCATGCACAGCCAGAGGGAAGGGTGCTGAATCGGGATGAGGGGACAAGGGGACAAGGGGCCTCCTGCCTCCTTCCCACCAGCACAGATCAGAGATGGCCCAGCCCAGATGTAACGGGAAACCACGGAACAGCGTACACACAAAACAGTATTCAAAACACAAGGACGACCACTCACAACTGCTGTCAAAAACAGCCTCCAAGGGGACATTAGGTTCCAGTGGGCTCTAGAAAATCCTGCTGAGTTGGTCAGCTACTGTAGCAAATGAAACCCTTGGCCTAAACTGACCTCTTGCATTTCTTCAAAACAATAAACATCCACTATCAGATGGCATTCCCTAAGACAGACAGTGAGCATTACACCAACTCAGACCCGAGGGCTCATTCAATGTGTCAGGAAGAGTCACAGCGAAAAGCCTGATCCAAACTAACTCAGCCCATCCAGACGAAAGCCTGAGATGCAGGAAGCAGTCTGGATTCGGCGAGCATGACTGATAAATGCCCAGACATCCCCTCATCGTCACTGCACAGCTACTGCTGAGCAGCCGAGCGCCAGGCGTGGTAGTAAGCCCCAGGCGCGGGGTGCAGAACGTGGCCCGGGTGCTTGTGCAGCTCAGAGTCTGGTGGAGAAGATGCACATTAGACAAAAACACACACACAGAGGCCTCAGTTACAGACTGTGCTGTGCTCTGCAGAAAAAGAGCTGGGGACTGCAGAGATGGTGGGGGTGGGGGCTGTTCTGAAGAACCGACACTTGAGCATGGCTGGGAGCTGAGCAGGAGCTGGCCAAGGAACTGGAGGGAACAGCATCTCCGGGAACAGCATGGGCAAGAGCCCTATGGCAGCACCTTCTGGCACCGGATGGGGCCCAGTGAGGCCGAGACCATGAGCAGGTGGGTGAGTGGCACAAAATAGAGCTGGACAGGGAGACAGGGCCCAGGGACACAGGGCTGAGTGAAGGCCCACAGTGAGAAGCCACTGTGGGGTATTAAGTGGAAGGGTGGAGCCCAGTTTCTGCACTGTAATGATCTCTGCAGCCACGGTGCAGAGGGTGAACTGAAGGGCATTAATGGAAATGGACAGACCAGTGGTCTCCAAGTCACGCCAGTGGGAGAAGCTGGTGGCCCAGGATGGGGTGGCACCAAGGAAACAAGCAAACTGGAAATAAATTTAAGGGTGGGCCAAGCAGGTGCAACAGACTGAACATGAGGATGAAGAGTCGAGCACGACCCTCGGGAAACTTTCTTGCTGGGGGCAACCACAGTGGAGGACTCAAGTGGTAATTAACCCAACAGCCCAAGAGACAGGACACGGCTGTGAGGCCTTATGTTCCAAGGCAGGCACAGTAAGTCACAGCTGACCCTGAAGCTGTTCTGAACTCGGTCTAGCAGGTTCTCAGTGAATACTTGTTGAGTTTATAGAACAACAACAAAAACTTTGACAATTTCACTGCACATACCATCAACGAGAAAATACAATTAACCATGTAATAGAGATGAAGACTTTGCATAAAACAAGTATCCAGTGGGCCGGCCCGTGGCTCACTCGGGAGAGTGCGGTGCTGATAACACCAAGGCCGCGGGTTCGGATCCTATATAGGGATGGCCGGTTTGCTCACTGGCTGAGCGTGGTGCTGACAACACCAAGCCAAGGGTTGAGATCCCCTTAGCGGTCATCTTTAAAAAAAAAAAAAAAAACAAGTATCCAGTAAATGTTCCCTGCCAAAGTTTCCGGGAGCAGAGCCGAGGTAGACAGGCAGCCTGCTCTGTCTCTAGACTGCAATACGTTGACAAGGGTTTCCACCCAGCAAACTGCCGGGTTTGGACTAATATTAAAAATACACATTTTAAGTTCATGATCACATGTCTCCTGACAAGCAAAACTTACTTGTCAGTTGTTAACAATTTTTTTTTTTTTTTGTCTTTTGTCTTTTTCCGTGTCCGGCAACGGATCGCAACCCTCAGTGTTGCGCCCATACCAGACCGGGGACTGGCAACGGGATTGCAACCCTCGGTGTTGCTCCCGCGCCTCGCTCAGCCAGTGAGCGGGAACCGGTCTGTATGTGGGATCCGAACCCTCGGGCGGAAGGGCCCGCCGCGCTTCCCAAGCGGCGTACTTATCCAGTGCGCCACCGGGCCGGCCCCAGTTGTTAACAATTTAAAAAATGTAGAGGACCAAGCTTTGTATGTATAATCTTCCAGAAGGGATTAATAAAGTAAAATTGGCTCGACATTTACTAAACATCTCAAGATGTTTAATAGGTGTCTGTTAAAAAAAGGAAGCGTCCTATGCGCGGTTAAGTTAGTTCGGAAGATTCTGAGTCAAACAGGTTTCTTCACACAGCTTAGCAGCCTGACCATTATTCAACAAAAGGGGAATGTGGTCGGCCTCTCTCCAACTTTATTTAACCCTGAAACCCTTGTGTCATGAAATAGCCAAGAGTATCTCAGAATAAAACCCACTTTGGGAAATGTTTGTCTATCAAGTCAATAGCACCGTGGCACTTCTCAGAAAAACGAAAAATACAAGACCAGTTACTTTTCATTAATCACACTGTACAGGAGAAAACATTAACAAATTACATACAATACCCAATATTCAAGACAAATAAACAAAAGGGAAATTTGTAATTTAAGTAATTCTTAGACTAAAGGATTGGGGTTTCTATATATTTTCTGCATTGCAAGCAGTGAACTAACATGCTAACTACTAAAGGGGCCCTTGCCTATCACTAGCTCTGTTTAACATGAGCCATTCAGCAAAACTCAAGCCTAAATATTTAACTTTTTACGTTTAGAAATAGTGTATAAAATGCTCTGTAAGGACCTTGAAGAGCATAATTTACACACAGCTAGAACTTAAACCATTGAAAACATTTAAACCATCTTCAACACGTTACTTTTACTATTCACAAAGAAGAAACATTATATAATTCCAGATTTGACTTACCAAATGCAGCGGTCCAGGCGGTGGACTAGGTATCAAGGATAGTTTTGCGGCAAAATCTTTTATATGATTGTCAACTTCAAAATCTTTACAGAACTTCAGATGAGTCAATAAACTGAAATTAGAAAAACAAAAATCAAATCACAAAATAAAAATGAGAATCCAACTGTCATCCTTGGCATTTCTAATCAAGCTGAAATCTTCTTCAGGGTCCTAATCAGCAGTTAGTTCTAGGACTTTTCACCAAAACTGGGACAATCTAGGTGTTAGACTACAGGAGGGTGGCTACCCCGGGAGGAGGCGTCTGGAAGCGGGCACAAAAAGTGACTTTTTGCAGGGAGAGGCCTGGCCATGTTCTGTTTCTTGATCTGGGTGCTGGTTACATTTCAATTTGTGAAAAAAATCACTGGAATTTGTGTATTTTTCTGTATGTGTGTTATACTTCAGTAAGGAATTTAAAAAAAAAAAAAAAAAACACCTAGAAGAAAGTGCTTGAGAAAGTTTGTTTCCAAAATGCATTCTGACTTTTTAAGTACAGGATTTAAAAATACAACAGATAATGGTTGTCTGGGGGCAGAGGGCCCAGGAATTGACTATAAAGGGGTGTGAGGGAACTTTGGGAGTGAAAATGTTCTAAACCTTCATTGTGGCAGTGGTTACACAGATGTGTACATTTATCAAAACTCATCCAGGGCCGGCCCGTGGCTCACTCGGGAGAGTGCGGTGCTGATAACACCAAGGCCCCGGGTTCGGATCCCATATAGGGATGGCCGGTTCGCTCACTGGCTGAGTGTGGTGCTGACAACACCAAGTCAAGGGTTAAGATCCCCTTACCGGTCATCTTTAAAAAAAAAAAAAAATCACCCAACTGTACACTCAAAATGGGTGGGTTTTACTGTATTATGTCTGTTACGCCTCAGTAAAGTTCATTTTGGAACTTTTCATGTGATCGTATAGATTAAAGGATACACGTACATAAAATGGATAGACTCTAGAGAAGCTATTTTCTAAAAATTATAAAAGCAGTGTACGTTCTAATAGACAAACTCACCTGTTCCCCCATTTGCCTTATTTGTTCATTGGACAAATATTTTCGAGGATGTAGGAGGTGGCAGGCCATAGGCTGGCCCCTAAGTCAGAGACAGTGATGGTCTGACTGGGAAGGAGACTGGGCCAGTGGGGGAACCAGGGTGGAGGTCACCGATGAGCATGTGTCCAGAGGTGGCCACGGTACCAGGAGAGTGCCTGCCGGGGTCCCACCTGGTCAGGCAGCGACAGGCCACCCCAGACACCACCACCTTTCCTTCCTCTCATGATGCACTCGGACAGTCCCACCCGCAGTGGCACAAGATGACCACAGCTCAAAGCACTTATATTTTTACTATAAGTAACAAATAATAATTTAATAATAATTTTCATGGAACCAATGTCAGGATTTGGAGATAGTCCAAAATTCCTCCATATTTGTATTTGTTGTAAAAATATAATAGCATTAAGGTAAAATTTTAAGAGAAAAAAATACTGCCCATAATCCAATTCCCCAAACACAACTAAATATATTCTCTTCTAATTTTTGTCCACACGGGGGCATATTTTGCATATTATCATGCTAGCAGAACAGAGTTTTTAAAAACATAAATTCATGTTGACATGCTGCATTTTGAATTTCTGTCATTTGCTTCTCTCTAGACATATTTTCTAGTTCTGAGCATGCAGCAAAGACGCCTGAAAAAGAGAAAAACTCAAGAAGCATGAAAATGAACACTTTTTCAAGTTAAATATATGTTTGCTTTCATTGTTAGCAGGAAGATACTGGCTGCCAGTCACACTATAAAAGGTCAAGTCTGAACAAACACATAGAAGGAAGACCAGGAAGGTGCAGAAACGCGACCTCTCCGCCTGTCTTCTCAGGGCCGACACCACCTGGCTCTCGCCCACCCCTTTCACTTAATGAAGGGTGGAAATGACCATCCCCATCTTACAGAAGAGGGAATCGGAGAGATTCGTTAAAGAGCATTTACCCTTGGGCCGAGCCCGTGGCGCACTCAGGAGAGTGCGGTGCTGGGAGTGCAGCAGCGCTCCCGCCACGGGTTCGGATCCTATATAAGGATGACCGGTGCGCTCACAGTGCTCACTGGCTGAGCGCGGTGCAGCCGGCCTCAAAAAGGACAAAAAAAAAAAAAGAAAAGAAAAGGAAAATCATAAGAGAAAATACATTTATAGTACTGTACAGTATTTATTGAAAAAAATCAATGTATAAGTGGAAGCATGCGGTTCGAACCTGTGTTGTTCGAGGGTCAATTGTTTATTCATAGACTATGAAAAAATAATTTGACCTACTATATTAGGTATATCAAATTAAAACAACACTAGACAATATTTACTTCCTGGAAAAAAAAAAAGGATCCTTCCATTTCAATCATTTTAATGCACAACTCTCTAGAGGCTGAATTAACTGAATATTCAAAAAATGGCATAAATACAGAGGTCCTAATTTATCATTCTGCCACGTCCTGGTTGCTGGCAGGCGCACGCTCCATCCACGTGCACGTGCCCAATTCCCTCGCTGGTGCTCTGTTCTACAAAGATATTTATGTCTATGGCAATAAAATGGAGGCTAGACTCAAACTGTGTCCAGAAACCAGCTATGCTTTTAAAAGTCAATCATTAAAGTGCTGGAATTTGAATTACGAACGTCATTCATTCAAACAGTAAGACTCCCGCTCTCCCAACATGCTGAATGGATCATCCCATGATAAGGAAGTAAGGTCTAAAATGACTGTCCTTTACAAGAAACTCATAAAAGAGCCGTCACCTCAGTGACTTGCCAAACAATGTTCTTCAGTATCAAGACACCAAGGGGAACCTCCGTTAACTGCCTTTTCCTCAAAGTCTAGGACTGTAACTATGTGACGCTCAAAAGAAAACAGCTCCAGACGTGTGCCCACTGGGACTGAGCTGCCTCTGACCTCGGGGCCGAAGCCTCCAATGTCACGATGACACCCTGTGATAACAGGATCCACCAGGTTCTACACGGTGCGCTCCTGGCTTTTCAAAAATGCTTTACATCTCCAGATGTTCCACTCAGTATCACAGTCAGACAGTTACAGAGTCTACCCAAAAAAGGTGATTTGTTAAAATGTCAATAAAACTCCTCAGACAGCAGCCTCCCGATTTCCTCAGATAGCTAGGAGAAGAGTTTTTCCCCATCTAGGTCTCTTTTTCAAAACCAAACAAAAATAAAATCCTCTCTATTAACTTTGCCTCCAGCAGGCTGGCTTCATCTTCCTTTTCACACCAGGAAAAGCAGACACAGCTTGGCTTTACCAGACCATTTCCATACATCGTCATTTACAGAAGAGGCAGGGATGCCAGACCTGCCTGCTGCCCACCGATCACAATTTTACACGACAGCTTCACTGTCGCAGAGAACACAGCCCCAGTGGCTCACCAGGAGAGGCAGTCCTTGAGGGAGTTGTAATAGGGGAACCTGGAGACCACGCACACTGCAAAGGGCACGAAGACGCCAGCAGTGCTCACAGTTGGCCAGGACGACTCCCAGTGTGCTTTGCCATTGTAGAAACAGTACTCATCCTAGATAAAAAGCAAAATGACATCGTCACCTCCCAGCCTGGCAATTCCAGCATCCACTTCCAATAGTGTCGGCATTTCAATAGGGAAACAAGTCTGCAGACGCTGGATAGTCCCTGCTGCCAACACGCCCGGCTGCGTCCGGCCAGCAGCAGCCTTCCTATTCGATGCTTGCACCAGGTGGGGTGCTGCGGTTACAAAAGTGATAAGACGCAGCCCTGCCCTGGAGAAGTTAACAGCCTCGGCTGAGGAGGAAGGTACAATTAATACACAGGGAGATACGCGACAGACACAACGGGGCTCTTTCTTACAGAGGGAAACGCAGTGGCCACAGCAGGAAGCAGCATTTGCACATGCCCAGGAGCCAGCAGGCATCACAGACAGGAGGACTGAGCAGAAGGAGTCTCAGCCTGTGAGGGAGGCAGGGGTCTCAGCCAGAGAAACAACCAGCCACAGCGTTCTAGAAGGCACAGCTTGCTGCAGGACTTCCAAGTGGCACAATATTTGGGGCTCACAAACTGGGCCCTAGGGGAGGGTTGTTTGTTTGGGGTTTTTTGTAGGGATGAAGGAGCATGATGATAGCTTCAGTGTGGGGATTTTTTGAATTTGAAGTACTTTCCAGGAAACAGTCAGCTCCATCATTTGTTTATCCAGCAACATTTAATGAACGTTCACTGCTCTAGAGTCAAGTCCTGCTCAGTTCAAACCTGGTTGCTCTGTGACCTTAGGCAAGTCACTTAACCTCTCTGTGCCACCATCTCCTCATCTGTAAAATGGGGATGATACTAATAGCTCCCAACTTTGTCCCCTGTGGTAAGGATTCAGTGAATTACTACATGCAAAGCACTTAGGGTCATGCCTGGTGCTGAACCGCTACCACTTCTGTTACTGCAGCCCGGGAGGAGCTGGGGTTGCTGGGACACAACATAGCTCCTACCCTCAAATCACCGAGCATCTGGGGCAAGAGAGAGTTGAGTAAAGGAGAGGGTCAGGGTTAGAATAACAGATACAGCAATCACTGGATACGTGGTGAAGGAGGGGAGTAAGAACACCCCAAAACTACACAGTCACTGGAGAGCAGGAGAGGGAGCCATGCACACCCAGGACAGGCGTCTCTCCTTATAACTGTTGTTTCACAGATGAACTCCCAAGTGCTTTTCTGAATGATCCAGCACTTGTGGATTCCTCCTTACCTGGAACACTGGCTAGGTGTGGAGGCAGGAGTCCCACCTTCCTCTCGTGCCCCCTCATCCCCCAGGAAGGCAGGCCAGGCAGTGCTGGCCCAACACTCCCCAGGTTGGCCACGGTCAGGGGTGGCCTGTAACCTCTGCATGCACCACTTGACAAATGACCTCCCGGTTGTGATCTGGGCACCTCACATAAGAGGATCTATTCCAGAAATACAAAGCTGTGCAAGGACATCTGGGCCTGTCTGTGCTACCCCATGAGAAGACAGGGACAGAACCCATTTGATTCTGTCTTATGCCTCCCAACACTCAGGTAAGGTTCAAGTATGATGTAAGCATAATCCTACCAAGAAAGAGAAAGACCACTCCAGCCTCTGAGGGCAGAGTCCAGGGCAGCCTCTTCCTTCTACTGCAGGGAGGAGCTCACTGGCTTCCCTTGAGAAGGCTCCAGGACACCACGACAAAGGCCAGCAGCTCACTCTGCTTCTGGAAACCCTCTGGAAGCCTGAGGCCGATCATGATGTACCTGCAGGCACACTGTTTCCCTACAAGCTCCTCACAGGCCAGCTGCTTCAGACACAGCGGCTGTGTCCAGACAACTCTCCCAAAATGTGTGATGAATGAAACGTGCCGACAAAATCTAAATCCAAGTACCTTGCACAGCAAACAGAAGGTGGGAGCAACCCACATGTCCATGGATGGATAAGTGGATAAATAAGACTTGGCCCACCCAAACACTGGAATATCATGCAGCCATAAGAGGGAATGAAGTTCTCACACATGCCACAGTGAGGACGAGCCTCCAAAACATCATGCTCAGTGAAAGAAGCCAGACACACAAGGCCACCTAGCGTGTGACTCCATTCATATGAAAGGTCCAGAGTAGCCAAGTCCATAGAGACAGAACGCAGATTAGCAGTTGCCAGGGGCTGAGGGAGGGAGGTGGGAGTGAAGGCTTAATGGGTACAGGTTTTGGGGGGTGATAAAAATGCTCTGGAACTAGACAGCAGTGGTGGTTACACACACTGTGATGTACTTCATGTCACTGAATCGCACACTTTAAAGTGGTTAAAATGGTGAATGTTATGTGTATTTTACCCCAATAAAAAAACATCTATACGCAATTTCAGAGGGAAGTACCAAGCATCACCTACGTGCAGGGGTCGATAGTACTGGGCCACCACGCCGTAGGTTCTGTTTCCGCAGACATCGGTCAGCACCAGGAAATGGACATAGTCCTCCCTTGGTTCAGAGGCCACGCACACGCCCCCTGCGGGCAGAAAAAGAAAGAAGAGTCTCATTCCAGCCACGTGGCATCTTGTTAAGGAAGGCCTGGGCTATCCACAAACCAATTTTTTCACAGCCTACAGAGCACGCCCATCTCCAAAGATCAACTTTGACATTCAAGATGTGTTCATCCTTCAAATCATGTTCCTGGCCGCTGGACCTCCCTGAGCCCCTCTCCCAGGCTGCAATTTCTTTACAATCCCTTTGTGTTCTGAAGAATGCAGGGGATGACCGTGTGGACAGCACAGACACTCAGAGCCTCAGGCAAACATTCAGAGCACGCCTGGAGGCAGCAGGGTGCCTCCTGAGCACAGCTGCCTGCCCCGCATCTGTCCCCACGTATAATCCCTGTGGCCAGGAAACAGCACCAAGTCGTCCCTGGGAACCACGAGATAGTCCAAGGACTTGGACATCAGCCATTTTAACACTTCTTAAGATCAGCGAGAAAAGGAAGCCCGGACACACATGCTTGCTGGTTAACTGCAACTGGCAGGCTTCGGGATACACTGAGCTTCTTGTTCCAGAGAAACAGAAAACAGGGGCGGGGGGAGGCCTAGGCACATGCTAGGGGTGGACCCTCTACAGACCAACTGGATGTACTTTTAACCCATCTGCCAACTGCTTTAAGACTTCATTCTAAGTCAAAGTGAAAACACCGTAACAATCGGTGCTACCTAGCTATGTAAACAGTCTCTTTTCTCGGACTCAGTTTCCCAAAAAACAGAGACAGTCCTAAATGATTTAAACTTCCTTTTAGCTTTAAAATTCCCAAGACTAAGAAAACTAAATCCCATGATCTGACACATGAGATGGTGAGGGGGCTCGCTCCACTTTCCTTAGTGCGAGGATTTCTGGAAACAGACCCCCCATACGGCCAGCAAGCGCCAGGCCACACGGTCTCCCCGCTGCGTACACCGTACCCGGGAAGCACAGCTGTGGCAGCGCGAGGAGGTCCACGCCACCCGGGATGCTCACGTCTTCAGGCTCTGGCGGTCGGGGGTCCCCCGCGAGGCCCTTCCACGGCTCGGTTTTGGGTTTCTCTCTCTTCTTTCTGAAGGAGCGTCTTCTGGTTTTACCTAGGGTAGCACAGTTCACACTGGCCACCTGACTGTCCTCCTTACTGATAAAAGGAGGTACAAAAACGGACAAAACCTCTGGATCAAGAGAAGAAGGATTTTTGACTCCTTTTTTCTGGGCAACCTAAAAAAAAGCAAAAATAAGAGTTACTGCAATAGTGCCAGCCCTTGCTCTAGGACATCCATTCTGTCTAAGCATTCAGTATTTCTTTTTTTTTTTGGACCGGTAAGGGGATCGCAACTCTCCGCACAGTGTGATCTGCACCACGCTCAGCCGGTGAGCTAACCGGCCATCCCTATATAGGATCCGAACCCGTGGCCTCGGCACTACCAGCGCTGCACTCTCCTGAGTGAGCCACGGGGCCAGCCCAGCATTCAGTATTTCTGTCTCACCTCCACGCCCACAAACACAAGCGGTTTTGCACTGTTGTTTAAAGGTGTCGGCGTGAGTGGCTTTTCCTACCCAAGGCTCAGGACACTAAGGGCTGCCTCGGAAGTTTCTCTCGAGCAAACTCTGTAATTCTTGGGGCCTGGCTCTTCAGCTGCAGAACAGGCACAGCAACAGCCCGCCTCTGGCAGCATGAAGGGCCGCAGTCTGGAGCCAGGCGCTGTGATCAGCAGACCCGGGTTCAAGTCCTGGCCCTGTCTTAGCTACCGGCAGCCCTACCTCGCTCCCTGAGCTTCCCTCTCAAGGGGTGAGTCCAGGGAATAAGGGGGACAACGTAGATCGAGGGCTCAGCCCAGGCGGGAGGTGCCCTCACGGGTGGGTGGGAGGGCAGACAGGTGAAGGACGCTGCATGTTGTCAAACCCTGTACAAACACGTTTACCGATGCTGTGCCTGTCACGCCAGCTGGGCCACCACTCACGTGATTTCTAGTCCCCGCTCAGCTGGGAAGATGGCAGAGCCGTGAGAGAGCGCACAGGCAGGTACAGAGAGAGGAGGCACAGCCTTCCTTGACTGGCCAAATGGTCCCTTGGAATCAATAAGAGGGGGGCGTGTAGCCTGGATTCTTCTAAATCTTAACTCGGTACAAGATTTTTTTTTACCTTTTCTCTTTCCATTCTTCCTCTAAATGAAACAAAGAACATGGGCTGTAGCGTCCGACTCTCCTCTCTCTCACCGTGGTGCCTAGGACAGCGCTTTCTACAGAGTTAGGAGGAGACAAAGGCCGCTGCCAGGCCGACTGGGGGGCTTTCTGGACAAAGCGCAGGGTAGGGGAGGAAGAGTGGCCGGAGTCCCGCTCAACAGCAAAGGCCGAGGCGGGAGACTCAGGTGTTCAAGATCTGGGAAGACAGGAGGTGGCCGGCGTGGGGGGGGTAATCGAGGGTCTTTGAGGGACCTTAGAAAGGGCATTAGGAGGGACAGCACTGTCACCAGAAGAAATGGTAGCAGAAAAGAAACAGCCAACACCCAGCATTTCAGTTAGAACGAGCACCACCAAAAGCAGAGCTCTTGCACATGAAGGATTTATATGACGGCACATTTTTCATCACTCTAAACTCACTGTGATTATTTGCACGCTATGTCATTCAAATTCGGTCATCAATTTCTTTATACTTGGGAAAAAAATTTAATACCAGTAGGAACCGAGATCAAACATGGGAAAAAATCCATATTATTGTATGTATTAAATATCCATATATTGTATGTACGTATTAAAAAACTCTCATGTACCATGCACAAAAGGAGTCCATTTCCTCAGTTATATGAAACCTTCTCTAAAAGTATCTCATCAAACTCTGACAGTTCTGATTTAATTAACTCTGAAAACGTACCCATCTCTCCTCATGGAAAAAGTTACATCCATAAACACTGAGAGACACATCGCCACACTTGGAAATAAACTCTTGAGATAAGTTACAGCCACAGGAGCAAATGAGTTAGCTCCAGGTGACACATGACAGGGGGCCGGCCCCTTTTCCTGAAACTTCCCTACCTCCCCCCTCCCTGCTCTTTCCTGTCTGCCCTGAGGGCTCCTCTCATTCCTGCTCACAGGCTGCGACTCCCAGGCCTGAGTCCTCGGCCCAGTCTCCGGCTTCCTGGGGTGATCTTGTCACGCACAGAGTCCCATCCACAGCTTACATGGGACAGCTCCCAGAGTCCCACACCCAGCACAGGCCCTTTTCCAGTCCCAGACCCTTTCCAGCTGCCTCCTGACACTGTGGGTGCAGGATCTCAGGGGGCCCTTAAGCTTACACTTTTAAAAATCAAGTTCCTGCAAGTTTCAAAAAAACCTCATCTCCCACTTACATCCTCCTCTGCAACAAAGAAGGTGTCGTTCAGGTCTTTGGAGCTCCACCGCCCCTGGAGCATCACCTCCTGGAGAGTCTCCTTCCAGGACCCACAGTCCCTGGAGCATCGCCTCCTGGAGGGTCTCCTTCCAGGACCCACAGTCCCTGGAGCATCACCTCCTGGAGCGTCTCCTTCCAGGACCCACAGTCCCTGGAGCATCACGTCCTGGAGAGTCTCCTTCCAGGACCCACAGTCCCTGGAGCACCACGTCCTGGAGAGTCTCCTTCCAGGACCCACAGTCCCTGGAGCATCGCCTCCTGGAGCGTCTCCTTCCAGGACCCACAGTCCCTGGAGCATCGCCTCCTGGAGTATCTCCTTCCAGGACCCACTGCCCCTGGCTCATCACGTCCTGGAGCATCTCCATCCAGGACCCACCGCCCCCGGCTCGTTGCCTCCTGTAGCATCACTGCCCTGCACAGTGGTACTATATCACCTTCCAAATTGTGGGTATGGGGTAAGGCAGAGATTGTACGGTATGGTAATGTGTCACTTAACGATAGGGATACATTCTGAGAAAGTGTCATTAGGCAATTTCGTCATTGTGTGACCATCACAGAGTGTATACACATAGACGCAGACAGTACAGCCTACTACACGCCTGTGCTGTATGGTTTTGTTCCTAGGCTACAAAGCTGTATAGCATGCTACTCTACTGAATACTGGGGGCAGCTGTAACACAAGGTTACACAGCTGTAACAAATGAACTTGTGCATCTAAACATATCTAAAGATAGAAAAGGTACAGTAAAAAAGTATAAAACATTGAAAATTGGTACACCTGTGTAGGGCACTTACCATGAGTGGAGCTCACGGAACTGGAAGTTGCTCTGGGCGAGTCAGTGAGTGAGTGGTGAGTGTGACATGACTGTGCACTACTGCAGACTTTGTAAACATGGCACACTGTATACTTAGGCTACACTACATTTATAAAAAACATTAATTGCACTATGACATTACAAAGGCTACGACATCACTGGGCAATAGGAATTTTTCAGCTCCATGATAATCTCATAGGACACTGTCCTATACGTGATCTGTCGTTGACCAGACATCGTTATGTGGTACATGACTGTGTTCCTCTCTGTCCCTGTATTTAGCACAGAAGACAACTCTTAGGTGATGTGTTTCTCCATTCATCCTCCTGGCACTTGGTGATGTCTTAGAGGCACACTCAGTCTGGAATGACTGTTGGTCATCACACTAAAGCCAACACTCTGTCATTCCCTCTATTTAACTGTAGTCATTTAAAATGATGCACCCAGAATCCAACCAACTTGGCAGTTCATTACACATTTGTTTTTCCTCAAAACGGAAATCCCTGTTGTCTTTTCTGATTGGATAAGCAATACAGTCTCATTTTAAAATATATATATATATATATAGAAATAATAAAGGAAATAACAGGAAAGTAGCTCTGTGACTCACAGGTAACACACTTGCACAGCACGGGATGCCTCCATGCGTTTTTTATGCATATGTAAACATCATTTTCTTCATAAATGCATCATCCTATTTAAACAGTTCCATTATCTATTTTAACTATACAATGTGGCTGACTTCCCTGTTCACAGCTGTCTGGTATTACACAGTGTGACAACAGTACCACATCCCATGACAATTCAATAACACATTTACCCAGTCCCCTTCTGAGAGACATTTGGGTTGCTCTCAAGTCTTCATCATTCTGTTCTGTACAAAGCAACAAGAGATAGTTTCACCAATGCATATTTGCACATGTCCAATTTTTTCACTAGAATAAATTCCTGAAAATGGAAGTCCTGGATCAAGTGTGTTCATAGGTTACTTTCTGATACATGCTGCGCCCCTTGCCACCAGGCTAAGAAAAGCTCCACTCCCCCACACTCTACCGACACTGACTCTTGTCCCCTCTGCCAGTCTCAGCTGGGAGCTAACAGGTGTTTCCTGCTCTTCTGTCCCAGACACTGATTTATTAAACCCCTGCCCAATAACCATCATTTTCATTTTTTAAAAAAGCTAATTAAAAATTAAAAACCACAACACCCTAATTCAGACTTATTTATATCACAGACTTATTTCTCAGATTCTATAGCGGCATTAATCTTCACTATAGGATTGGCTGTTTTTAACGAAATAAAACAAAAACTAATAGATTTTTTTTAATGCTGTAGAACTGTGCTGTCCCACACAATTGCCAGTAGCCACATGTAGCTATTGAAATTTACGTGAATAAAAATTAAATGAAATTTAAAATCCAGTTCCTCAGCCGCACTAGTCCCACTTCAAGCACTCAGTAGCCACGTGTGGCTGGCGGCTACTGCACTGGGTGGCACAGATAAAGAACACTGACGACCATCACCAAGGAAGTTCCGTTGGACAGTACTGTTCTAGAAACCGAAAGCCAGGATGCTGTCCACTAAAAACCATAAAAATGTACCTTCGCACACAAGACGTATGCTGGTGATCTGCACTATGGAAGGGACTCTGGGCACTTTCCACCAGTCTGTGATGGATTTATGGTGGATCTCTTCACACCCTATGTCTAGTCTCCATAGCAACCAATGACCAGGGGATGGCTCTACAGTAAAGGGGTAGAAGGAAATGTAACTAATCACAGTAACTCCTGTGGGGATTGATGTGTATTCTTGAATTCTTTGTCACCATTTCCAACAAACCAAACACTACCCCCCATCTAAGAAATAAAAAGTTAGGGCACTACACTACCTTCACATGAAGTCAGATATTTCTCATACCTCTGGGCTTGTTTTCATGTGTCACCAAATAGGACTGCCTGAACCAGAGAAATGGTGATTAGAAAAAAAAAAAATTTAAAATTAGTTTTAAAAGGCTTTGACATTCAAAATAGAACTGCTACAAAAAATAAAACTAACTAAATAAAATCCTATGTTTAGTTAATTGTAATATTAATGTTGACTTTATTTTTTATTTTTTATTTTTTTGTCTTTTTTCGTGTCCGGCAACAGATCGCAACCCTCAGTGTCGTGCCCGTACCGGACCGGGACCGGCATCGGAATCGGGATCGCAACCCTCGGTGTTGCTCCCACACCTCGCTCAGCCAGTGAGCGGGAACCGGTCTGTATGTGGGATCCGAACCCTCGGCGGGAGCACCACCGGGCCGGCCCCTTAATGTTGACTTTAAAAGCAGGATCACTCCAGGAAGTTTAATCCATCTCCTAACACACTTATTCTTCCTAATCCTTCACTACATTTCTCTCCAACCCTTGCTAAGCCCCTAAGAATAAAGTAGAAGCTAAAATGTAGAGGAGCAAATGGTCCACGCTCTCAGTTGACCTAGGAAAACGTTACAGCCTGGGTAGGTCAGGGAAGTACCACTGTAAATATTCCAGTTGATTCACCCTGCTCTCAAAAGACATGTCTCCCACTGAGTGACAAAGGATATGTTGTAATCGCCTGAGACGAAAAGATGTCCAACTGCTGAGAAGACCACAACGGAAACCAGGTCATTTCCTATAAGAAGAAAAAGCAGGCAATGCCTTTCGGCAAACTAGAGGCGGGGGGGACAACTCAAATCAATCGATGAGGGTCAGAGGAGAGATCAGAAGGGGACACAGTGACATCACAGGGGTGGAGGAGTAAGAGAGGAGGGACAGTAGTGCAGAAATCATTTAAACGCAGAGTAACGTTGCACTCAAGTCAAAAGCGGCTGCATAGAGACATTAACAGACATTACTGGGTGGACTTTAGCAACATTCAGCTTTTCTTGGTGACAGCCATTCAGCCCTTCATTCTGCATTTTCCCTGGATAGCCAGGCACCGTTTACATACTCCAATGCCTTTCTCTGCCCTTCAGTGTTGTCACCTGGAAATAGATGAAAGCATTGTCCCGATAACTGGGCAGGAGAGCCGAGAAATCTCTAGGGAAAATGACTCGGACACAATGTCAGGGACAAGCTGGGCCAAGAGAAACAGAGGGCCACAGACGGACTCAAAAGGAAGCCAGCGGTCCAGAATTAGGACGAAGTAAGAACGCAGGATCGACACAAGAAGGACGATTTTCAGAACTGCTACTTTCCCAGAGGAAGGGATATGAATTTGTCACTTTGGCGGCTGGGGTGCTTAGAAAAGGGAGGGGGAGGGGCTTTCCCGCAAGTGAGGAAAACAGCTCGGCTTCACCGCAAAACGAGTGAATGCAGAAAATCTAAAACTTAAGTCTCATTACTCTGTGCCTCGTACAGGACCCAGTGCTCAGCGGACAATCAATCTGCGTGCAGGGGATGGAATCACAGAGGGGCGGGGCTGACCGGCGAGGCCTCGGCCCACCAGGCCGCGGGCTCCGGGAGGTGCCGCGCGGCGGTCGCTCAGCCGAGGGTGGGGCGTCCTCGAGGGGAGCCAGAGAGGCAACGGCCTCGGAGAAACGCTCCGACGGACGACAGCGCTTTTGCATACGACAATCACTAGGTACAAACTCAGCTGGCCCCGCCCCGAGGGACCCTCACAGAGAGGGAGGGACGGAGCCCCCACTCCGCACCGCTGGGTGAACCGCTGCTGTTCTCGGCACCCGCGAGCTGACGGTACCTGCTCTGACCTGGGGCGCACTGTCCCGCACCCAGCAGGCACGCGGGGTCCTCGCCGGGAGGCGTCGTGGCACGGCGGGGGGTGCGCGGGCCACAGCTGTCGGGAAGCCCGCGCCGGCTAGCGCCGGGCACCGGGGCGCCCACTCAGGATGCGCCCGGGACCTGGCCCCGCTCTCCGGCCGTCGCTCCACCTCAGTTTCCCCACCCGCCCCTTACCTGCTCGAGGTCGCGGAGGCTGTCCCGGGAGGCGCCCAGCAGCGCGCACAGCTCCAGCAGCCCAGAGGGCAGCGACAGGTGCTGCGGCGCGCCCTCCGCCATGGC